TGGACCTAGAGACTCTGTCATCCACCACATTCGCCAGGCCTCGCACCAAGTTAACTACCACTTCTTCCAGGGTTTGGACCACTTCTTGCAAGGAAAAACATTCCATTCTCAACAAGCTGTGGAAAACACCTTTCGAGATTTCACTGCCACTCGCTCTCCAGGCTGCTTGGCTGCTGGCACACACAAGCTACGTTAAGAGGGCAAAGCGGTGCCAATAGTTTAGGTGCACACTTTGATTGTACTGCTTCTTATTTGAGATATGATAAACTACACTTTTGATCCAAAATCATACGTTTCTTATATAATGACCTAAATAGTACAGCCATTATGACAAACAATATGGAGGTTCGTCCAAAAACTAAAAATACAATTACCAAATGATCCAGCTTTCCCACATGTGGACATACACCCCCCAAAAAGAAATTAGTATGTTGAAGAGGTATCTGCACACTCATGTTCATCTCAGCATTATTCACAATAACCAAGATGCTGAATAAACTTGTGTCTATCAACATATGACTGGATGAAGAAAATGTGGTATACACACACAATGGAATACTATTCGGCCTTCAAAAAGAAGCAAATCCTGCCATTTGCATGAACAACGTGAATGAACCTGGAGGACATTATGTTAATGAAATAAGTCAGACACAGAAAAACAAATATCACTAATCTCTCTGATATATGGAATCTAAAAAAGTTGATTTCATGGAAATAGTAGAATGGTGGTTACTTAAAGACTTCGGGTGGAGGGGTTGGACAGACGTTTTTCAAAAGATACAAAATTTCAGTTCAATAGGAGATATAAGTTCAAGAGATCTGTTGTGCAACTAGATGACTATAATAGCAATGTACTATATTCTTGACAATTGTTGAGATTTAAATGTTCTTACCATAAAATGTGAGGTAATGCATAATGAACTCAATGTAGTTATTCCACAATACATACATATTTCGAAACATGTACATGATAAATATGTACAAGTTTTGTCAATTAAAAAATAAATTTTTAAACAAAAGTTGTATGTAAGGGAAAATATTTTTAATTTTTAAACATACATATTGTGATATCCTTTTTCTCAAACTGATTTTCATAATCTATCATCTATCTGTATGCAGACAGTCCTTGACTTACATGATGGTTCCACTTAACATTTTTTAGGATGATGCAAAAGTGATCCACTTTCAACAGAAATGCATTTAAGGTAAGCTAGGCTAAGCTTTGTTTGGTAGTTTAGGTAAATTAAATGCATTTTCAACTTATGATATTTCCAACTTAATGGGGACATAACCTCATCATTATTCTGCATCTGTATATGCATTAGAAATATGGCTAAATGTCCATCAAACATTCATAATTAATCCTTGGTGGTAGACTTTGAAGTGTGCACACAAATGTATATGTTTACTTTCTTTTGGCCGGGCGAGGTAGCTCATGCCTGTAATCCTAGCACTCTGGGTGGCCAAGGCGGGCAGATTCCTTGAGTTCAGGAGTTGAAGACCAGCATCTGAGCAAGAGCAAGACCCCTATCTTTACTAAAAATAGAAAGAAATTAGCCAGACAACTAAAAAATATACAGAAAAAATTATCCGGGCATGGTGGCACATGCCTGTAGTCCTACTCGGGAGGCTGAGGCAGGAGGATCACTTGAGTCTAGGAGTTGGAGGTTGCTGTGAGCTAGGCTGACACCACAGCACTCTAGCCTGGGCAACAGAGTGAGACTCTGTCTCAAGAAAGAAAAAAATATATTAAAAATGTATGAAAGTAAAAATAAAAGGGAACATTTTAGAAAACATATATAAACTAAATAGTAGATGCTAGAGAGCAAAGAAAATTAGTAAAAAAAAAAAATCCTGGGATCATTATAAAAGATAGAAAAACTAAAAGGAGAGATAAGAATAAAAAATATCCAAAGAATGGGAATAAAAGGAAATAATAAAACCAGAGAACAGTTAAAGATAAAAACAAAACAAAGCCAAAGAAACAAAAAGCCTATCTGAATTCACAAATTCTGGTTTTTACCAGGACATATGAAGAACTTGCAGTCATCACTCCCATCTTCCTAACAAGAAAAAAATTGAACTGAAAATCAACAATACTTCTTACAATGACCCAGGAACTGAGGTCCCAAGGCAAACCTCCACCTGGAAAACTGTGGAGAGATGTGAACACAGAACAGACAAGCACAGCTTCAGGAGCAAAAGCCACTGCTCGAGTCAGCAAACGTTAGGTACACTCATGCACACAGTGCTGCGCAAAGTCCTGGATGCCCAGTGTGGACTGGCTTGAGAGGTGAAAACCACTGGGGCCCACTGTCAAGGTACTCCCACACTTTCGTGAATTTTGTCTGCAGAAGCCTGACCAGGTTCTCACGATATCACAGAAAAATCCCCTACAGTTGTGGAAGGCAGTAAGAGGGCAAAGTAACCATTTTGAAATATACCGAGAGCTTTCTCTTCTTCGTGGCAGGGACCTGCCCTCAGTAGCAACCGTCTTTTGAGAGCCTTGTCTGACCTGGGAAAAACAACCGATGTACTCAGTTTCCCTTGGTCTTCCTGCCACACAGAGGGCGGGGGGTGGGAGGGTGGGGAGTGGGGGGAAGGCTGAGGAACTCTGCTGCAGGTCACAGCTAAGGGACTTTGGCCCACTAAAAAAGTGGTGCTGTCTTAGGAAAGTAAACACACTCTCACCATATGATCCAGAAATTGTGTTCCTTGGTATCTACCCAAATAAGTCGAAAACTTAATTCCACACAAAAACCTGCACACAAATGTTCACAGCAACTTTATTCATAATTGCCAAACACTGGAAGCAACTCAGAGGTCCTCCAGGAGGTGAGTGGGTAAACGCCACGGTACATCAGATATTCTTCAGCAACAAAGACACGAGTGAGCACGCCATGAAGGCACAGAGGAACGATAAATGCTTATTGCCACGTGAAAGAAGGCAATCTGAAAGGCTACCTGCTGTAGGATTCCAACCATATAACATTCTGGAAAAGGCAAAACTATGGAGACTGCAAAAACCAGTGGCTGCCAGGGGTTGGGGGAGGGAGGAATAAGAAAGTGAAGCTATTTTCATGATAACCTAATGGTGCGTACTTGACATTATTCATTGGTCAAAACCCTTGGAACTAAATGAAGAGTGATTTCTATTGTAATCTTTATTGATACATAACAATGTGTCAATATTGGTTCATTGATTGTTTAACAAATACACCAAACAGATATTAATAAGGGGAAACTTCCAAGGAGAGGGAGTATATGGAAGCTATACTATGTGCACCATTTATCTGTAAAACTTTTAAAATAAATAAAATCTATTAATTTAAAAAACTTACCTCGATTTAATCAGGAAATAGCCTCTCTATGGATATCTTGAACATACCAGAGCATCAACTGATTCAATTTTTAGAGAAATTCCACTTTAGCCGAAATGGTTAGAAACCAGTATTGTTTATTGCCCACATTACTTTATAGCTTGTACCAGTAACCTGACATGTGTAACACTTTCACACACCTGTCTAAATTGTCAATGAGGACAGACAAATCACAACTGTCTCAACAGAGTCCATACTCCTTTAATACAATGAGTACACATAATCATTTTTGGCAAAATTTTGTAAATGCCTGGTACATGGTGATCAGTATAGTGAGTGTGAGTCTCTTCATCACGTCAGATGGGAGGTCCCAGGAGGACACCATTCCTTACCAAAGTGATAAAGTACTTCTAAATATATTAGATCCAGCAAAGAATGAATTTGCCCCATTTTCTATTCAGACAACAATTTTTTAAAGGAGCTCATTTGTTAAACCCATCAGTGTGTGTTACAGACCAGAAACTGACATGAGGTGATTCTGCCCTCCTCCCCAGTGCAGGGGTGTTTTCCTCAGTGTTACTCTACCACCACGTCAATGTGACAGGAATAATGTCATCACAGTGTATCTGTCAAGGAATAGGAAAAAACACACATTTTTCCAGAAGAGTTGAAACATCCTAAGCCCTTTTTCATTTATTAAATACAAAATTGCAGCATAATCTCTAGGTAAGAAGATACTCAAAAGAGCCCCGCTGGTACACCTGAGTCCTTACTGCTCTGGACAGTGGGAGAGGCTGGCAAACCTCCAAATGACTGCCAGGCCTCACGCGCTGCAAAGTAAGGGAAAGGCCTTAGAGTGATCTGAAAAAAAGAATCTGGGTGGAAGCAAGTGTAGGACTGGAAACTGACAATAAACATAAAAGTGTTAGTAGAAAGTTAAAGGTAATACTAAAGATTAAGAAAAGTTAAATTGAAGAAAAGGCAGTTTTGGTGATAGTTAAAATTGAGAGCTAAATTAAAGATGGATCTGATGCTACCGACTTCTGCTCCTTGCGTTTATTTCTGGTGTCAAGAGCTGTGCTGATAGGGGGGAATAGAATGCAAACTGAGGAGGACTGAGAACATTTTGTAGATAACAGGAGAAATGTGAGAGTATTAAGATATTAAATATGTGAGAAGGAGGGTGTTGAACTAAGAAGAGCCATTCTGACCTAGGCCTCCCCCAGAGCAGCAGTCAGAGACCACGCTCGTGGGCAAACTCGAATTCTATGGGTGGGATGCACAAGAATCCACATAATGCCAACACTTGTCTCTAGTGTAATACTTTTAAAAGCTTCATCCTTACCTGGGAGATAAACTCCAACTGCCAATTCTAGTATTTGAACACTTTCCCTGAATTGCCTTCTACACAGACAAGACACAGTGTAAGATTTTCCCCTCATACCAATGTTTTCCACTTAAATGGCCAGCCCCTGCCATCGTGGGCCACCCTTCTTGGACATGCACAGGCAACGTCACCCTAGTCCCAGTGTTTGTACAACAGATCTTAAATATAGAAACACATACACAGCTTTCCTCTTCATCACAGTGGAGTACAGAAGTGCACCCCAATCATCCTAAAGCACGTGTCCCTTCTTGTAACTAAGCACAGCAACCAAACATCTTATCTTCCACACCTACCTTTAATGTTCTCTTCCGTCTGTCTCCACCATTCCTAGGACATCCAATTAATGTTTCTGACGTTCTAAAATAAATTAATCATATGAGTGCTTAAACAAAGGGCACTGAACAGTACCATGGATAATATACGCAACAGGGGTTTTCAGAAGATGCAAATGTGCTCTGCACACATGAAGTTTCTTAGGTCTTTAAAAAAAAAAAAAAAGCTAAAGGCATAAGGTTAAAATATAAGTCACTGACAACTCGGTTTTGGGAACAAGACAGGTGGGTTATATATGTTAATTACCCTATCCAAAAATGTTGTATCTTGAGCATCTAATGTAATTCAACAGAACACACTATCTTGAAGAAGGATGAATCATGTGTTCCTCACATTATCTTCTTCAAGTATCAACCATGTCAGCCCTGCTCTTGTCAAGAATTACAAAGTAATAATTATCAAATTAAATTTTCAATCAAAAGCCTACACTTGACACTGATGGATTGTACATTTCAAAATAGCTAGAAAAGAATAATTCAAATGTTCCTAGTGTAAATAAAAAATATTTAAGGTGATGCATATCCCAATTGCCCTGGTCTGATTATAATAAATGTGTCAAATTATATGTATCCCCAAAATGTCCATCTAATACCTGTCAATAAAAATAAATAAATTAGCTGGGCATGATGGCAGGCACCTGTAATCCTAGCTACCCAGCTTCTCGGGAGGTTGAGGCAGGAGGTTCACTTAAGCCCAGGAGTTCAAGACCAGTCTGGGCAACATAGTGAGACCTTGTCTCTTTTAAATAAAAATAAATAAAAATATTCTTTGTGGCTAACTGAAGAATGATCAACTTATTTTGGATAGAAAACATGCAGATAGAAAAACTGTCATGCAAATTTAAACATTTGAATGGAGGGTAGGAATTTAAAAATGAATAATGTTCTTAAAACTTTATGAAGTCCAAGAATCTTAAAAACTGATATACAGAACAGCAGTCTCTGTACTAAGCAGTACACACACAATATCATGTTTTAAACTCACCAAAGCCTTAAGGTGGTCACAGTATACCTATTTATCACTCAAATTCTTGCTATTGCAAGCAGCAGAAAACCAGCCCTGAAGTCGCTGAAGGCAGTAAGTGAAAAAGGTAAGAGTAGGACTAGTTTCAGGACTCTTACTTGTCAACAGAACTCAACTCTGCCCCAATCTCAGCTCTGCCACTCCCTGTATAGTCCTCCTTCTGAAGTTCATGGGGTGGCAAATTTTGTGTCTATTCTTGTTACATTCAGTAGGGAGAGTTAAAGTTTTCCAATAGCTTCCACAAAAATACTGAGTCCCCTGGTTGGCCCACCTGGGACATATGGCCACCCCTAATTAAGTCACTGTGTCCAGGATCCTGGACTTTCTGACTAGCTGGGGCTGGTCATGTTCCATCCCAGGATTCCAGAGATGCCAGGGCTACTGCCGGAGCGTAGGTGCTGAGTATTGAGGGGAGAAGTATCGTAACAAGTTCCCCTTCACAAATAAGGAACCCATAGTTTGGGAAGATAAACTACCAAAAATCAGACACTAGAAAGTAAGTCTCGACTTGGAAGTTTGGTCTACGATCTGAATCCAAATTACCCATTTACCACTAAGCTACACCAACACCCATGACCCAGAATGAATCTTCAGACTGTAAAAAAGGACCCTTACCTGTCTTCTAGACTCATCACCAATTGGAACATAAATCAAGGCTACAATATTTGTTGGAAAACTTTGGAATACTATGTGGAAAAACTAATAACTCAAGATTAACTTCATTATGAATTTAATTAGGCTTACTCAAAAATTTTAGCCTGTTTGTCTTCTGTTTCTATACACTTCAAAACAGGAGTGGCCGGTTTAGAAAATTCATTTCCACTAAGGAAAACTTAAAATCTTAAGCGGAGTTTAAAATACTCTGTCTCATAGATGCATCATTTATTCCACATGTATGTTAATTTGGGGGTCCTTAATGAGCCGTGATTGATTTCCAGTCACTCATTGATAACTTTAGACTTTTCTTTCAGGGAAGTAAAAAAAAAAAAATCACTAGCCTTTGTATGTTTTCTTTCAACCTAGTTTTATTCTAATAAAAGCACGTCATAAGTTTAACTAACACGACAAGGGCATCGCCATTTTTTAAAAAGAGGTCAAAGACCCTCTGACTTCCGGCCAGGATGGAGTGTGGGAACGACCTAGGCTCTTACCTCAGAGAACCAAAACGCCCAAACGATGGAAACCCGCGCTACGGGATCCGCGGGCGAGGGGACAGGCAGGGAGGTCTCCGGGCGCGACCCGCAGGGCCCGGTGCGCGCGGGGCCGGGGACGCGGAGGGACGACCCCGACCCCGACCTCGACCTCTCAGCGCGGGAGGGGGGCCTCTGGGCCGCGCCCGGCAGAGGTCAGAGGTCAGAGGTCGGCGCGCGAGGAGACGCCGCGGCCCGCCCGCGCCCCGAGAGCGGCCTGGAGACGGGCCACGTGTGCGTCACGAGTTCGAGCACGCATCGACGGCCGCCAGGCCACGACGCCAAGGCGCGAGCGGCGACGGAGGACGCGCGACTCGGCGGGGCGCGGCCGCGCGCGAGCGGCAAGAACCTGAGGCGCGAGGCCCGCACCACGTCACGCCGCCCCGTTCTCGCCCGGCCACACGCTCCCCACGCCCCGCTCCCGCGCGCGGGCCTCGACGGCGATGCACCGGCGTGGGGACGTGACGCCGTGCGCGCGGCGGGCCGGCGAGCATGCGCGCTGTGGCCGTACGGCCGCCGGCGCGGCGGGCGGGGCCAAGGAGCATGCGCGCTGGGAGCGAGCGCGGAGGCGGGGGTTGCTACGGCAACGGTGAGCCCAGCCGGTCGCGGTGGAGTCCCGAGCCGGTTGCGCGTTCTGGACTCTCGGGCGTTACGGGCAGAGCCGGGGCCAGAGGGACCTTGTCCTGCCAGGGCAGGGAGGGGGCCGCGCGCAACGTCGCCTCTCGGCTCCGGGTCCCCGCTCTGTCCCGGGAGACTGGTGTCTAACCCGGCCGTCTTTGAGTGAGCGGGGGCTCCCGTGGGGACCTGTCCCGGGGGTCAGCGGGGGCTCCCGTGGGGACCTGTCCCGGGGGTCAGCGGGGGCTCCCGTGGGGACCTGTCCCGGGGGGTCCCGTGGGGAACCTGCCCTGGGGGTGAGTGGGGACCTGTCCCGAGGGGACCTGCCCTGGGGGTCAGCGGGGGCTCCCGTGGGGACCTGCCCTAGGGTCAGCAGGGACTCCCGTGGGGATCCTGCCCCGGGGTCATTGGGGGAGCTCCCGTGGGGAACCTTCCCGGGGGGGTCAGCGGGGGAGGGGGAGCTCCCGAGGGGATCCTGCCCTGCGGTCATTGGGGGGCTCCGTGTGGATCCTGCCCCAGGGGGTCACGGGGGGCTCCCGTGGGGATCCTGCCCTGGGGTCAGCGGGGGGCTCCGTGTGGACCCTGGCCCAGGGGGTCAGCGGGGGCTCCCGTGTGGATCCTGCCCCAGGAGGTCAGCGGGGGCTCCCGTGGGGATCCTGCCCTGGGGTCAGCAGGGGGCTCCGTGTGGATCCTGCCCCAGGAGGTCAGCGGGGGCTCCCGTGGGGACCAACTTCGTGGGGCTGGGGTTTAGCACGTGGGAGGGTTCGGGGCATACCCAGTGAAGGCTCAGCATTGTCAAAGCTATTTCTGGTTAACTTGTGGCAGCTTCTTTTACGTAAGTGGTGCAAATTTATGATGGCCCCAAACCTTTAACACGATCCATTACAAGAAGGGGAACCAAGTCCAAAGACGGTTTAAGTTTTAAAGAGATTTCTAGCAACTTAACTTTATGTATATTTGTATGTTTCTGGTGATCACAGGTAGAACCTCATAAAAAGATGTTTAAAGTGCCTTATCATCGCCTTATCATAGTGCCTTATCATCGCCTAACATTCAAATGTTAGGCGATGATAAGGCACTATGTAGAATTGTATTTTTAAAATTGTATGTTTGTGTCTTATGTATTTTTATTTGGCAAGTTTATTAATTACCTGATGGTCACTTAGACAAATTGGTGACTCTTACCTTGGCACCACAATGGTAGTTTTTGCTACCAAGCCCTACCTCTCTGAACTAGTTTTTGATACTGAGATTTATAAAGAAGGCATGTGTCATTATTAATTTTAGCTTTTAATATTGGACAAGGATTAAGTTTCTCACCTGACCATTGCTACAGACCAATTATGTATTCTTGGAGGAGTCACCTAATGTTTGGATATGTCTTCTCATTTATGAAATGGAGTTGGACTAGATATTTGAAAAGTTTCCAATACCTTTAAGTCCTAAATTTTAAATTCTAAAATTTAATGAGACTGTAGAACTTGGGTTTTTAAAAGCTTTTACCTTGATATTAATCACAGTGGCCTACAGTGCAGAAATTTGAGATAAATTGTAGAGTGTAGATGGCCAGATATGATTATATTAAACAGTTTTTGGTATGATACAAACTATCTTCTGCCAGGTTGTAAGCATTTTGGAAGCAGAAAACTCTGGTAATGATCTTTCAGTATTTTTAATACCTTATACCAATTCTCCAACCTACATCGTCTTGATGAAATATTGCACAGAAACGTCTTTCAAATGTCTCTCGATGCCGGAAGTGGAAGAGAACAGGAAAGGTTACAGTAGAAACTATTATCCAAGTTTCCAAAGGATTTTAGCCCCTGCTAATCTTTTTATTCCTAAACTCTGGATAGCTCATCGATTTGTTTCCAGTGTCCTTACTTTTCTCTCTCTACACACACTCCTTAGTGAGTTTATTCTTTTCAGTTGGACTAATTTAATACAGGCATTGGCCTTAGAAATATATTTTGGATTACTTCTTTTCTGTTCTTACAGTTAGGCCCTCAGTACAGTGAGCCCTCACTTAACCTCGTTGATAGGCTCCTGGAAGCTGCAGCTTTAATCAAAACAATGTATAGTGAAAGCACTTTTATCGTAGGCTGATTGATATAAGCCGCAGTTAAGTTCCTGCAGCATATTTCAGGTCTTAAAAACATCACCAAACTTCTAAGTAAAGACCAAAACACTTCTATTGTTAAACATGGAAATAAATGTGAGCTATACATACATTTAAGAAAGAGCAAAACCCAATTTTTCAGTTAGTGGCAGTGGTCTTCGTGTGGTGGGTTAAATCTGGGATAAACGTCTGCAGAGCAAAAATTCAGCAGCACCTGCTCCCACCACGCAGGTCCACGACAAACAAAGTGCCCCCTTGAGCCCTTTTGCACTGCATCATTTATTATGTGTCTGTATGGTTATTGTACGCTTAATGGATTATTTGACAATAATTTTGTATTCCTTCATTCATTTTGCAACCTGCGTATTCCAGTTCAGGGTCACAGGTGGCCACAGCCCGTCCTGGCTGCTCAGCACACAAGGCGGGAACTGACCCTGGGCGTGATGGCCTCCCATCTCAGGGCCCGTTCACACACACACACACTCAGACAGGGACAGTCTAGACACGCCAGTGAACCTGCGCATAGATTTGGAGTGTGGGAGGAAACCCAAGTGCCCGGAGAGAACCCACACAGACTCTGCTCAGACAGTGACCTAAGCTGCCAACGTACTTTTTTTTTCATCGACGTTACAATGAAATGATGCCGAAGGAAGCAATGTTATTTGAGGATCTGCTATACTATTTCCCTAGCTTACTTGAGTAACTTTCTGTTTCTCCCCATTACAGTACATTTTGGACTTTTTTGTCTTCATAAAATACATCCTTGTCCAAAAACAAAAACGGCCAATTCCAAATTCTTCACCAGCTGTGAAGGGAATTGGAATAACTGGAGTACCTTCTGTGTGAAAAGATTGCTTTTCGATACTTTGCAAAGGTTGTCTCATTTAACCCCTACAGGAACCATGCAGAGCCAGTGCTGTACTTGCTTTGCAGATGAGGAAAGTGAGATGCCGCTGTGTTGAGTATCTTGCCCAGCAAAGTGCTGCAGCAGGATTGGAACCCAAGCAGGATTGGAACCCAAGTCCCCATATGCTGTCCATCTGTGTCTGGGCAGACTGCAGTTAGCAAATTCCTCTGCATTCCAGTTTTTTCATTGTTCCCTTTCTCCCATGAGTAGCAGGCATACCATGCTGATATTCTGAGTGCCTTTGCCTTCCTTGTAATGTAACATGTTCATTTCCTCTCTGTCTACTCTTCAAATTCCAGTTTAACTGTTACCTCTTTAGGAGGTTTTTTGTTTATAAATCTCTGATCTTTTTAGTCTCCAATGTTAGTTTGAAATTTTGTTGTGCTTATGCCTAATATGTGTAGCAATGGATTGTTCTCATTTATATTAACGTGTTCTCTACAAGTCAGTGGTGAACCGTTTGGGGACAGGGCTGAAACAAATTGCAACTGGCTTGAATCCTGCTCCTCCACCTGAATCAGACTCATGGCTTAGTGCTGCACTGCAGTGGGCATTTCCATCACTTCATCATCAGACTTTTAATACATGTCTTCCCCATAAACGTCCTAAAAGAGTTTTATGTGCACTCTGACTTTGACCTTCTGTTGACTATGTTTTTACAGTGGAAGAACAAAGGAGTGTGACACACTGTGATGATAGGGTTTGTCAGAGCCAAGAAACAACTTTTCCTGATTATTCAGCATGCTAAAAAATAAGGTACACCATCCTTTTTAAAAATATACACATTATTTTACTTGTGAAATGTATTTTAATTCAACCATTTTAGAGTATTAAAAATAGCTTGCAAATGTTGCTTCAACCAGGAACTGTTAGCAGGAATGGGAGATGCCAAGTGTGGCGTGGGGGCAGTGGACAGGCAGGTGAGAAGAACAGTCTTCTGTGGTGCTTACTGCAAGCACCTCCAAGCTGTTTAGTGACTTTTATTCTGCATAGAAAATATATTATTGCTCCACCAAAAAAGCATACGATATGCTTAAGTGCAAGATCCTCCTCAGGATTTGCTTGGAGTCTAACATAATTATAGTGAAGCAGTGTGGATTTCTTTGGACATACACAGGTATATAAGTCATAATGAGTTTGTTCTCATTATAATTAAACCTTTAGCAATTCAATGAAGACATCCTCCTATGTTTTCAACATAAATGCAAGGGGGTTTGGGCCAACTTAGGTGACAATTGGTCAAGCATTCTAACTGAAAACTGGTCAAGCATTCATTACTAGTAGATTTAATCTAATGCACCATCAAGGTTGAATATTAAAGCCTCAGTTCTCTTCTAAATGATATATTACATAATGTTCCCGTAAATATGACTTTTTTCCTACATTTTAGGGTCCTTCATCTAAAAAAGACAACTTAGCAGTCACTGCAGTTGCTTTACAAGATCACATTTTACATGATCTTCAACTTCGAAATCTTTCAGTCGCAGATCATTCTAAGACAAAAGTACAAAAGAAAGAGAACAGATCCAAAGCTCTAAAAAGAGACACAAAAGCAATAATAGACACAGGACTTAAGAAAACTACGCAGGGTCCCAGAGTAGAAGATCCAGAAAAAGAATATGTTCTTGATCCAAAACCACCACCATTAACTTTAGGTAAGCTACTCTGGTCATTCGGCTTCTGGCTTATCACAGCTAATGAATCTGTTGAGATTAATAGCATAATTTTTGTGGTACAGAAATAATTTGTCTTAATTTATAATTATACCGAAAGTTGTGTATATTCTGAAGTTTAAAAATGATAGGAGACCATTTGAGCTAGAAAATGAAGATAGTAATGATAAGTAGAATAAGTAAAAACAGTAGAATGAAAGAACTGTCCATTAATTCACATTGATAGATATAATTGAATAAAGAAATGATGAAAAAGAAAAAAACCTTTTATTAGAATGACAACTAATAAATATATTAAGGTAATAGAAAATCAGCATTTGGCAGACAGCACAGTAATATTCATGATTATTACTGAAGCGAGTAATGAGAAAAGTTGTGACCTTTGAGACAGAATATTGATGTGGTCTCACAGTCTCTGCCCACAGGTGGGTGTCCACTGCAGGTAGGCGTCCACTGTCCAGGTACAGTGGCCACACTTGGCAGACAGCACTTCAGCCAGTAGTCCAAGCTGTGTCACCAGTCACGACACCTGCCAGCATCTGCTGTCCTGGTAAAAGCTGCAACATTACTTCTGTAGCATTGTTGCCAAAAATACATTCTGAATTTAATCATGCAGAAACCTCAGACAAACCCAAATTGAAAGACATTTTAGGCTGGATGCGGTGGCTCACACCTGTAATCCCAGCACTCTGGGAGGCCAAACCAGGAGGATCACTTGAGGTTAGGAGTTCTGGATCAGCCTTGGCAAGGGTGAGACCCTTTCTCTATTAAAAATAGAAAGAAATTAGCTGGGCGTGGTGGTGCATGCCTGTAGTGATAGCTACTGGTCAAACTGAAGCAGGAGGATCACTTGAGCCCAAAAGTTTGAGGTTGCTATAAGCTAGGCTGACTCCATGGCACTCTAGCCGAGGTGACAGAGCAAGACTCTGTCTCAAATAAATAAATAAATGACATTTTACAGAATTCATAACCAGTAATCTTCAAAAGTATCAAGTCGAGCAAATCAAAACCTAGAAAATAGGCCGGGGTGATGGCTCACACCTGTAATCCTAGCACTCTGGGAGGCTGAGGCCAGAGGATCACTCGAGGTCAGGAGTTCGAGACCAGCCTGAGCAAAAATGAGACCCCCGTCTCTCCTAAAAAAAATAGAAATTATCTGGACAACTAAAAATATTTAGAAAAAATTAGCCAGGCATGGTGGCGCATGCCTGTAGTTCCAGCTACTCATGAGGCTGAGGCAGGGGGATCGCTTGAGCCCAGGAGTTTGAGGTTGCGGTGAGCTAGGCTGATGCCACGGCACTCTAGCCCGGGCAACAGAGTGAGACTCTGTCTCAAAAAAAAAAAAAAAAAAAAAAAAAAAAACACATCTAGAAAATGTCCCGGATTCTAATAGTCATGGGACATAAGAACTGTAGACGTACTGCATGATCCTGGGCGAGATCTCAGACTGGAAAGAAGGACGCATATGCGGTAAAGAACCAAATTCAAGTAAGTTGTATAGACTGCCTGACAGATTACATCAACATTAATTTCCTGGTTTTGATCTTTATACTAGAGTTATGAAAAATGTTAACATTTGGGGTTAAGGGTATATGAGAATTCTTTATGCTGTTTTTACAACCATTTGTAAGTTTGAAATTATTTTAAACTGAGAAGTTAGAAATAAAGATTTTTAAATAACAGACTTGGAGAACAGGTTTGGTGGGGGATGTGGTGTCCTAGTACTTTGAGTCCCACAAGGCAGAGGGGACTTGCTCCCACAGCAGTGCCCAGGGGCGACATTTTATATTATTTCTCTCTTAACTTCTGTTGACAATGCTAGTTGTCATCTAGAAAGTGGCATGGCTCTAGAACACGCTGAGACTTGGGATAATGTTACACAGACACTTAGTGAGTATCTTCTATTTGCATATGTAGTTTATGTAGATGATCAAATAGCTTCATCATAATCAATCTCTTTGTGTGTGTCAGGAAAGATTTATATTAGACATCAAGAAGACCATCCTAATTTGAAAAATAAGTGAGGTTATTAAGGAGAGTAAATGACCTCTTTATTAAAAAAAAATCTTTATGATGCGTGTTATTTACTAATGAGGTTGAGCCATATACTCTTATCTACACATAATATTCCACTTGGATTTTCTGTCTTTTCTTGCTGATTTACTAGAGTTCTTGTGTATTCTACATGTTAATCTCTTGTGGATTTAGCCACTGAAAATATCTTCTGTTCTGTCATCATGTTTTAACTTTTTTTTTTTTTTTTTTTTTAGACTAAGAAATACCTTTTTGAATGTTTTAACTTTTATCTGTCATTTTACATTGAATAAAATTTTCATTCTGATTAATGTTAAATCCATTTTTTTTACATTATTGCTATATTTTGGGAGATTTAAGAAATCTTTCACCAATCTGAGATTGCAAAGATTTTCCTACATTTTCTTTATTTATGTTTATCCTCTACGTTTCACATTTAGATCTCACACAGTTTACTCTGCTTATGATATTGGGAAAATTGACGGGTTTAGAAGTTGTTAGATTCTTCCTTTTGGGGGCTTCTGCTTCTATGTCAATATCCCACTGTTTGACTTAGTATAGTTTTGTAGTGTATCTTAACGGCTGGTAGGAAAAGGCCCTTTTCTCCTTTTTTCCCCCTAAAATTCCCTTATTTTCTGCATAAAATTCTGCTGGAAACTTTTTAAATTGTATTTAAAGATTAGGGGAAATAACGTTAACAGTGGTAACCATCTGACCCACAGAAATGGTGGCATCTCACGCCATTCAGGTCTTCTCCAACTCTTCTTAGAGGTTTTCTAAGTAAGTCATTCGCTCTCTGGAGTGATCATTACTGACTCTTCCCTTCCATTTTTATATCCCTTCTTTTTTCCCTCTTTGTCTTTTTTGACTGGCCAGCATCTCCTAAACTGTGGTGAACACAAGTAGTAACACCTGGCACTTCTGTCGTGTTACTGAGCCTAACAGTGATAATTTCTCCAGTTGTATGATGTTTGCTCTTTATTGTTCCATTCTGTTTTGCTTGTTTGTTGCCCTTTATCTAATTATGGAATTTCCCATTTAACAAGGTTCCAGAGTTTTTTAAAAACCTAAATAGTACTTATCAGATGCTTTTTTTCCTGCAGCTGTTGAGATGGTCTTGCCTGAGTTTCTCCTCCGCTCATCTGTGCAGCGAGTCACAGGGCGGTCTCCCTGACACCGCAGCTTCCTCGTACACCTTCAGCAAGCTGTGCTTGATCCCAGTGCTTTGTAAATCCACTGTCGGGTTCTGACAACTAGACTTGCTCAGCACGTTACACGTTTAGCCATAGAGCCCTCTGGCCCGTCATTGTGCTTGCACTGTCCTTGTCTGGTTTTTTTACCAAGGTCATACAAGCTTCATAAAATAATTTGGGCAGCTCTCCTTCTTTTTTCAATAGTCTGGATAGCATAGAAAATAGGAATAATATGGTCCTTGAATGTCTGGGGTGACACACTTGTAAAATCATCTGGGCCTGAGGCCCCTTTTTTGTTTTAAGTGAGGTAAGGAAAGGTGATCGGTGTAGATGCATTTGACTGTGCATATTGAGCAATCCACTTACTACGGTTTAAGCGATGTAAACCTTAAAGATCCGTGTTGTTTGTCACAGTTCTTCTTCAGCAGCTTATCGGTGCTGCCAGGACCAGCCTCTTGGCAGCTCTGCCATCCTGAGGTGATGGCACCAGGCATGGAAACGGGGGGAGCTGCGCAGTTCCAGGTTCAGGTCCTTAATGACAAGGGACAAACTGGAAAGGCAGGGGAAGAAGTTTTCACAGACGCCCCCCAACAGACTTTGTCTTACATTCCACCTGAAATGGGTCACATGCCCGTTGATAGTCTAAAAATTGGCAAAGGACAACAGGGTTGCCACGACATCCTAGATCAGTCAGGATTCGTCCTTGGGCTGGGCCTGCTTCTGCTGGTCACGGCGCGGAAGGAGGGCTGTGGGTCCCACCAGAGCTGGAGGGCAATTCAAGTTTTCTGTTTCTTCTTCTGACAATTTAAATATTTGTATATTTTCTCAGAAGTATATTAATTTCATCTAGATTTCCAGATGTATTTGGAATATATTCAGTTATAAACATTACTGTATAATTTTAAATTTTTATTTATGATTACTTCTTTTTACTCTACATTTTGTTTGCATTTTCCTTTCTTTTTATCTTGACCAGTTTTGTCAGAAATGTCTCTTTTGAGAAAAACTAATCTTGGTGCCTACCTGGTATTGGTTTGGTTTCTTTTTTGATTTTGGTTTCTTTTAGTTTCTTGATATTTCTGCCCTGATCTTTGTTATTTCCTTTTTGTTTCTTTAGATTTGCTGTTTTTTTCTCTTTTTCTAGCATCTTGAATTAAACACTTAGTTCGTTTGTTTCTAGGCTTTCTTGTTTTCTGACAACTGTGTCCAGAGCTGTACACTGCCCACAACTGCAGTCTCAGCCGTCTCACAAATTGACCTTTATGGCCACTCAGCTCCTGGTACTGCACTTCTTGGTTTTCTTTTTGGCTTTTTCTTTAACCTAAGTTATTGAGTCTTGTGTAGTTTACTTTTCAGGCACGGGTTATTGTTTGGGAGTTACTTTTAAAGTTCTGCTTTTGTTATTGCTATTTTAAAATACATTTGTTATTTTGGAATAATTTTAGATTTACAGAAAAATGACAAAGCTAGTGCAGAGTTCCTGCATGCCCAGTTCCCCTAGTGTTAACATTTCCCCTCAGCATGGTATTCTTTCCAAAGCTAGAGACCGACGTTGGTACGTTACTGCTAACTCACTCGACTCCAGACTCGGTTTGGATTTCACTTTTCCCACTTACTGCCCTTTACTATTCTAGAAGCCAATGCAGGGTAACGTTGCCTGTGGTTGTCATCTTTCCTCTGGCTTGTGACAGTTTCTCAGTCCTTCCTTGTTTTCATGACATAGACCATTTTGAGGATTGCTGGCCAGGTATTCATAGACTGTCCTTTAGTTTGGGTTTGCCTGACGTCTTCCTCACAATTGGGCTGGGATCCTGGGTTGATGGGAAGAACACGAGAGAAGTGCCCAGCCCCTCCACCCTCCCAGCGTCATGCATCATGTCAGCACGTCCATCACGGCTGACGGCTTGGTTAAGGGCATGTCTGCCAGTTCTCTCCACTGAAAAGTATGAATTTTCCCTTTCCAGACTCTGTTCTTGGAAGTGAGACACTAAGTCTAGCCCACATTCAGGCAGTGGGGTGGAGGGATTGAGTTCCACCTCCTGGGTGAGGGTTAATATCTACATACACTACACACAGAATTATTCAATAAGGAAACTCTCTTCTCCCATTTATTTATGTATTCAATCATGTATATCAGCACAACTCGCGTACATGTATTTTATACTTTGGCATATGGCTCGGTACTGCTGCTCTCCTTGTCACATCTTTGGCCACAGACGCTTTGAGGTTGGTCCTTGTCTCTTTCATTTTGGGGCGCTCCTTTGTGCTACCACAAGGTACTGGACACTTATCCTGTGTCTTCCCTAACCCACCCCCAGAATCACCCATTTCTCTGAGGAGCCCTGGTTCCTTTCACTGAAGACTAGGATTTAGAAACCGAGATCTGGCACTAGGCGTGCTGTTGATTTTAAACATTATTACATGTGATCAGAAGGCCCAGAAGTTTGGTGAAACCCATCAGTAGAGTTATTTATCTCTTCTCCATCTAGTTCTCAGGTCTCCATTACTTATACTCAAGTCTGGGTTTGCATGACAGGAGGTGTGGATGCCTGGTGTGGAAGCAGAGTCGGGCTGAATAGCCAGTATCCAGGAAGCCACCCAGGTCCCAGGCAGAATGACAGACTGCCTGTTTTTCAGATGTCAGACTCCCTTAATTTTCATATTTTCTATCTCCTGCTATATCTGCTTTTTCTACTTTAAGATGAGATAATGTAGTCGTGAGCCACACAGCAAAGTTGTGGTCAGCAATGGACCACATATACCACAGTGATCCCATAAGATTGTACTGGAGCTGAAAAATTCCTATTGTCTAGTGACATCCCGATGATCCGGACTCTGTGCAGGCCTAGGCTGATGTGCCTGTGTCTTAGTGTTTTGTTTTTTGAGACAGTCTCACTCTGTCACCTGGGGTAGTGTGCAATGGCATCATCATAGCTCTCTGCAACCCCAAACTCCTGGGCTCAGGCAATCCTCCTGCCTCAGCCTCCCAAGTAGCTGAGACTACAGGTATACGCCCAGCTAGTTTTTCTATTTTTTGTAGAGACAGGGTCTCACTGCTGGTCTCAAACTCCTGGCTCAAGCAGTTCTCCCACCTTAGCCTCCCAAAGTGCTGGGATTACAGGTGTGAGCCACAGTGCCCAGCCTGTGTCTTAGTTTTTAATAAAAAAAAAAATTTAAAAAGGAAAAGGAAAAAAAAAGATTTTTAAAATAGAAAAAAGCTTCAGAATAAGGACATAATGAAAGAAAATATTTTGCATAGCTGTATAACATGTTTGTGTCTTAAGCTAAGTATTGTTATAAAACAGTCAAAAAGTTTTTAAAAAATTAAAAAGCTTATAAAGTAAAAAAGTTAAATAAGCTAAGGTTAATTTATTTTTGAAGAAAAAAAAATTTTTGTAAATTTAGTGTAGTCTAAGTGTCCCGTGTTTATAAAATCTATAGTGGTGTACAGTAATGTCCTAGGCCTTCACATTCACTCACTACTCACTCACTGACTCACCCAGAGCAACTTCCCATCCTGTGAGCTCCATTCATGATAAGTGCCCTGCACAGGTATAGCATTATTTATCTTTTATATTATCTTTTTACTATACCTTGTCTGTGTTTAGATACACAAATACCACTGTTACCATTGCCTGCAGTACTCAGTGCAGTAATATGGAGCACAGGTTTGTAGCCAGGAGCAATAAGTCACACCAGACAGCTTTGGTGTGTAGTAGGCTAGCCACCCAGGTCCATGTACGTATGCTGTAGGATGTTCTCTGGACAACAGAATCACCCGGGCATTTCTCAGAACGTGACCTGTCACTAAGCAACATGTGACTATATTTTAGCTTTCTCTCCCAGCCTTTCAGTCAACATTCACATTTCTGCTATAACATTTTCTACTTCCAAGAGCTCTTTCTACTACACTATTTTATGTAAGGGACTTGTGCATCTATGATTTTGGTATTTGGGAGGGGTCCTGGAACCTATTCCTGGTCCATACCAAGGGACGACTTATTTTGTGAAATAAAGTGGGTGACATAAATGTATTGGTTTAATATTTGTTTGCAATAGTGTTATTAAAATTATAGGTGAGCACCACACTCTAAACTACATCCTAACTCATACTCTGCATGTTCTTACCTTCAGCACAGAAGTTGGGCCTCTTCGAGCCTCCCCCATTGCCACTGTCCCCAGAAGAGTGGGAGAAAGTGAAGCAGAGGTCCGTCCTGCAGGGAGATTCCATGCAGCCATGCCCGATATGTAAAGAAGAGTTTCGCCTCCATCCCCAGGTGCTGAGCTTGAGAGGGTTACAGAGAGCCCGGTGGGGCTGTTTCCTAGTAACGAGACAGTGGGTTAGAGCTTAAGATGTCAGGCTTCCTTTTTGCAGTTTTATCCTCCTCTGTTGTCCTTAAATACTAACATTTTCTTTTCCATTTAAAGTATGTGCGTGAGAAAGAGCTAAACACCCTCATTAAACAGTTTTGTTTATTTACTGAATGATAGCAATTCTCAAGTGCTAACGTTTACACAGAGGAATTATACAGAGGAATGCTTCCGTTCCACTGGTCCTGTGCAGCTGAAAGAGAGTGGATGGGAGGATGCTGTGCAGAAAGGATGAAAGCAAAAGGAATTTTTAAGTTGTTTTGTGAATTGAGTCATAAAAGAAAAAACTGTGAAAAATATCTCCAAAGAATTCATGGGAGAATCTTTAAGAAAACTAAAGTCTTTTCATCTTTACTCATGAACCTTTACCATAGTAAGATTGATACTATCCTGTGTTTACAGATGATATATAATCTACAGCTTAGGTTTTCCTTGTACATATTTTGTCTGCCTAACTAAACTGTTATCTCCTGGAAGTTAGGAACACTTATATTCTCAGAAATTTGTGTGTGTAAGGTAATGGTTCCCTACAGCGATTTCCCATGATGTATAGTATGATGCTTCCTACATAGTGGCACTCAGAGACTTGCTGAGAAAACACAGGAAATGTAGTTAAAACCAGGCTTGAATTCATAGCTAAGGAACCCTGGCTTTACTTCCTACCCTGGTACATGAATTCTAAAACTCAATTTCTTTCAGTAAGTTTCATCATCAAAAAGTTCACAATAGTTTAAACTTTTGTTCTTTGTAGTTTGAATTCACAAGTTATTTTAACACATTGACTGCCACACTAGAAAAAAAAATTTTCCCTTGGGGTCATGGTGTTTTATTATGAAATAGAATAAAAACTTTGAAAACAAAACAGTCCCTTCTAATTTAATGAAAAATTAGTCATTTTTTATTTTTTTCTGTGTGTGAGTTATATGCAACTTGAAAAATAACTCGCTCAGCTCCCAAGGTGAAGAGACCTGTGAGTTATATATGCCTCACAAGGCCCCAGGCTCAAAACTACTGTGAGTTAAATACGACTCACATGGCAGTCAATGTGTTAATACTTGTCATATTCCAGTTCTCTATCAGGACCTGTCTTACATATGTGAAAGTTGGCTATTTTGGAAAAGATTTAGCCCTTAAACCACAGAATTACCATTTAGGATAATTTAGTACTTTGGTGTAGCAAAAGTGTCAATAGAGCCACAAGCAATCTTTCTGGCCTCAGCAACCTACTTCTTAATTACACTTTAAATAGTTAGCCAGATGGTTTGTGTGAAGAATGAAAACTTGGAGTTGAATATCTTGTGCAATCAGGGTGCATCCTGCCCAATATTTCTTTCATTCTGTTTTTATAAATTTCTCACTAAATTCTATTATTTTTTGTCTTTTATAGATATAGACACTATTCTATATATTTTGCATTTCTAGTTATTTCTGTAATTAGATTTTTCCTTAGTTATAAACAATAGTAGGCATTTCCCCAACATTTAATGATTTCAGAGGGCCTTCAGTTAATTTCACCTCTCTGAGGTAGGATTATACCCATTTAACAGATGAGGAAATAAGTAAGCCATTCAAGTGATCCATAGTAGGTCAACTCAGCAATTACAGTAGAGTCCAACTGGAATTAATCTGAACTTCTATGGCATTTTTAGTGTATTTACCACTACTTAATCATGTATTTTTGTTATATCAAGGAATATTTGTCAGTAAATATTTATGAACATTTAAAAGTACAATATTTTAAGGCCGGGCGCGGTGGCTCACACCTGTAATCCTAGCACTTTGGGAGGCCGAGGCGGGCGGATTGCTCAAGGTAAGGAGTTCGAAACCAGCCTGAGCGAGACCCCGTCTCTACCAAAAATAGAAAGAAATTAATTGACCAACTAAAAATATATATATACAAAAAATTGGCCGGGCACGGTGGCGCATGCCTGTAGTCCCAGCTACTCGGGAGGCTGAGGCAGGAGGATTGCTTGAGCCCAGGAGATTGAGGTTGCTATGAGCGAGGCTGACGCCATGGCACTCACTCTAGCCTGGGCAACAAAGTGAGACTCTGTCTCAAAAAAAAAAAGTACAATATTTTAAATATACAGAAGTATAATGTTATTGAATATAGATTGAATATCTGTTGATGAAACACTTTGAAAAATCATTCTAAAAAGAGTAAATAATTAAGTACACACAGTATTGCTGTTAGGTTGAATGGTGATAACAGAAAAGAATCCATATTACTAAGTTTATCCAATTTAGGTTTATTGTTGGCAAGTTTCAAGAAAAGGTTTTAGAACTGAGTTCTATTCCAATATTTCTTCTTTTATTCCCATTTAAGAAGAAAAGTATAGATGGAATGAAGGCAGGTAGGTTGGTCACTCTAAAAACTGGAAAGTTTTCCCCAAATCAGGCAGCCTGGTGGTCTCTGATTGAAATCTCACTTGTCTTGCTGAGAGGGAAAGCCCTTGCTGCTGCTGCAAGCCCCCCTTTGGTGGGGAGTGGTGGGACCCTGAGTGTCCAGCCCTGGGTGGGAGTGGGGCCCCACCCCTTCCTGGCCTCCTGCTACCTGCCAGCCACCTGTCTCTTTATTCAGTATTAAGTTATTCTCCTTTGCTTCTGTCTTTCGTCTTTCGCCTGTGGAGTTTGGATCACAGAAAGGTGACATTTTCTTGTGAGGATACTTTCCTTGTGTTCAGAAAAGAAAAAAATGACTCATCTCTCCATGACTTCTCACTATCTAAATCTAAGACTGTCAAAATTATATCTCAATAAAGCTGTGATTTAAAAAAATTTAGGAGTGTAATTTAGTTGAACAAAGACCTTTAAAAAAACGGTATTTACTTAGCATTTCTCTGCTCCTTCAGCCCACACCATACGGGACCTATCCTCCCCCTTCCTCGCCCCTTGTGACTTGCACACTCTGTAAGATCTACTGGGAAATACATCTCTGTCATAAATATTTGACTTTTACATGTGCACTCATTTTAATAGCTTAATATCAAACTTCATGTGTGTGTCTGATGTTTCAGATTGTTGTTAGCTTAATTTTTCTTGTGCTGTGCTAAACTTAAAGACTAAATAGTATAAATATCAAAGTTATTAATTTGCTTTTCTAATTTTTCAAATCATACAGCTTACCTTTTAAGCATTCAGAATTTTTCTTTTAATTAATACATTTATGTTGCTTCTCTTTTATTCAACTTCAAACATCTTTTTGTTTACTCATGAACAGGTGCTGCTTTCATGTTCCCATGTGTTCCACAGAGTAAGTAAATCCCGCCGCACTCCCACAACCGAGCGCGCCGCGCATCCTTCTCATTCTTACGGCTCAGAGAAACCGTACTCATTTTAAAGTCTCCTAAAAAGAGCCATTTGTTTTATTCATAATCACCATTTATAGTTAGAAACATGACTGTAGGCTATAGTACAATTCATCCTGTTTTGAAAATCATGAATTTTCTGTGACAAAAGAACCACAAATGTTTGTATAACAGATTGTTGTTAGTGCACATCAAAGTGAGTGATAGCTTAATTCATATGCTCTATCTTTGTGTTAGTCTTATACACAAGCATGACTTACCTTTACACTAGTTGATTTTCAAAAGTTTTTGATGTCTGTGCATGTATATTCTTGTAAAAAAAAAAAACCATTTTTAGAACAGGTTTCCTGTGGAAGGTGTTAACATCTGATGAAACTTCTTCACTTTATAATCTAAATTGGATTAAGTCTCATAATTATGAGAGAAAAGAACACTATAATTACATTAGAAGTAAAAATGTTTAAAAGTAATTACTCATAAAATTTTAAGTGAAATGTTTTTCCTCAGGCATGCCTTCAGGCTTTTGAAAAGTTCACAAATAAGAAAACCTGTCCTCTCTGCAGAAAGAACCAGTATCAGACCCGGGTGATACACGACGGGGCCCGCCTATTCAGAGTAAAGTGCGCAACGAGGTACGCAGGGTCTCTGCCGCCCCTGGGCTGCCAGCGCCTGTGCAGGGTAAGGGAGACCGGCGGCCATCACGCCATGGCCACCAACTTGGGAAGATACGGGGATTCCTCTCTCCCCTCGGCCACCGTCATCTCCCCGGGGCCTCAGATAGTACAGGGCTCATAGCAAGTACAGAAACATCTGTCCGACTGGAGCTGTCCAGAGTGAATCATTGTCAAACATCTGTTTCAGAATCCAAGCCCACTGGAGAGGACACATTGTTCGAAAGTGGTACAGAAACCTGAGGAAAACAGTACCTCCCAGAGATGCCAAATTAAGGAAAAAATTCTATGAACAAAAGGTAGGTATAGATCATTATTAATTCCTCAGATACAGTCTCTGCATGCAGAGGACTCCTTTGGAGTCGACAGGGCTGACAGAGGCACTAAAACTTCACAGTTTCACTTTGAAGACTTAACTTCATTTTTTAGGCCTTTCTTTTTAGTGGTTGAGATGCTACTAAAAATCCTCTTCAATTTAAATTGGTTTTCCAATCTATATGGCAAAATACTTCTAGATTTTCTTCTCTAGTTAAGTCACAAAATTTATAAAATTAGAATAGGTTAAATTCAAAGCAACTTTTGCTGGGCCATTTCATGCCAGTTGTTTAAATAAACTAATCTCTTCATATGAAACAATGGAAACAAGCTAAGCGTCTCCCACCCCGGAACTGTGAGTAAGTGAAAAGAGCAGGTGTGTGTCGTGTGGCGCTGGTGGAAGTGAAGCAAACGGTAGAGACAAAGCTCCCCTCACCGCGTACCAGGCCTCATGGGATCCTGCTGTAGAAACAAAGGACTTCCATTTCTGGGCTTTTCTTTTCTTTTCTTTTTTTTTTTTTTTTTGAGAAGAATGAGTGCTGTGGCGTCAGCCCAGCTCACAGCAACCTCAAACTCCTGGGCTCAAGCAATCCTCCTGCCTCAGCCTCCCAAGTAGCTGGGACTACAGGCATGCGCCACCATGCCCAGCTAATTTTTTCTATATATATTAGTTGGCCAGTTAATTTCTTTCTATTTATAGTAGAGACGGGTCTCGCTCTTGCTCAGGCTGGTTTCAAACTCCTGACCTCGAGCAATCCGCCCGCCTCGGCCTCCCAGAGTGCTAGAATTATAGGCATGAGCCACCACACCTGGCCCATTTCTGGGCTTTCCTTTAACCACTTTGTATCTTTTATTTTTATTTTTTGGGGCTTATTTGACAGTTCTCCATTCCTGTACCCCATACAAAAAGGACAGGCATGGTGGAATGGGAGGAGCAGCGAGGCCAGGGTGGGGTCCCAGTTTTGTCCCCATCGGCCTTGAGGCTGCAGGCAGATGACAGGGACCATGGCTCTGAGGCCTTTTCCTTCCCCATCATCTCCACCTTGCAGAGCTGGTCTAAGAATAGATACAGTATTTATAAAGGCCTAGCACACAGTAGGTACCAGCAAATTTGTATTTATTATAAATATTAATCTATTGTTCCAGTTTCTTTATGTAAATTGTTGCCGATTTAGTGATATTCTGTGTTCTGTGTGTGTGTATTTTATTTTTTATAGTAGCACTGTGGTGACCTGACGTGATGTTAGCTTCAGATCACTAAGACAAACTCAGTCACAGTGTCCTATGACCACTTGTTTGGAAGTATTATTTACATAATTATTTAGATCTTTTCTAAACTTCGTTGTTTTAGCCTGCCCTCCCATTTATAGCGAGTGATAGACAGTTACTCCTCACGGGGTACAGTCATCCCCCGCTCTGGTCTGTGGGGGAGCAGGTGTCTGTCACCACCACAGGGCAGTGCATTGCCGAGCTCTGCCCTCACGCTCACCACTCACCTCTGCCACCCTTCCTGTGCCTGGGGAGAGGAGACTTCTTTACAGCGTCCCAGAACTACACAGGAACCCTAAAAGGAAATAGTTTGGGGCTTGACTATAAAGCAGTATGATTTTTTTTCCTAACAACCCTTCTGGTCACTTAGGTATTTGTCCCAAGTAATGTAGTTGTAAGTATGTGCAAAAGGAAGAATAGTGCTTATTGTGATCCCACTATGCCTCAGATTTAATCAAGAAAATATGTTTGATTTGCTTCCAGAAGCAGGACAAGTTTAACAGCAATATCAATATGTGAGCAGTGCACCTTTGTCTCAGAGACAAAGAAGTTGAACTGGTGGGGTGGAGAGTATGAATTAGCTGCTGTGGCTTGGGAAGCCAGCGGTGCTGTCCCTCACCTGGTGTGGGAGGTGGCACCCTCTGGTGGGGAGCAGCAGGGAGGGCAGGCTGCAGGGGGGAGGCTACAGGCCGGGGAGAGAGCATCTGCAATTCTACCTTCATGGAAGAAAAGTATTCTTCTCCAAGTCACTCATGTCCCTTAGAACTGGGGAGCACAAGAGAGTTAGGGAGAGGGGACAGAGCTGTGGCAGAAGACACCCTCTCGTTTCTGCCTACAGGTGGGCCTGTGAAACACTTTCCATTTTTCAGTGCTACCCAGTGATTCTTTTTCAAATATCCCCGTATTAAAGAATAAATAGCAATCAGCTAAAAGTCCTGGTAATTTACTGGATAAAAAGAATATATGCTGCCTTCATTTTTTCTTGGACAGGACCCATTCCTCTTTTGCCGTTTAGAGAGCAGTGTGCTGCCTTCCTTTCCAGCTCTCAGCTCCCCACGCTTCTTATCTAGTCCTCACTCCTGGCCAAGATAACAGCTTCAGCCTAACTGGTCTCCACGCTCACTCAGTAAACATGCATGCTCAGCCAAGTTATCATTTTCTAACAAAGTCAGAGATCGGTAATCTCTAGTGCTGTAGTTTCTTCTCATTTCCGTAAATGACTGTTGTCCACAATTGTTTTCATCCTTCTTTATATTCTTTCCATGCTTTCTATGTTCAGTAGTGTGACATCAGTCTTTTTCTCTGAGCTACTCTTAGTAATTTCTAATATGTAATAGTGTATTGGCTCTCAAATCAGAAATCATTCATTGTTTTCTCTTAAAAACTTTTAATTACAGATTTAATAGTCATTTCACCTCATGTGTATAAATATTTTTTCATGTGCACACATCATCTTATAATAACTTTTGAAAATATAAGCTATGCTTTGCTTTCACATAAAGCAGTCAGGAGACTCATTCAACTGCATGGCTGCACTATCATCTGTGATTCTGTGACACATGAGAGGTTCACTCACATACTGGTTTTCTACTCTGTAAAAGGTCCAATATTGACAGGATTATTTTGAGAACCAAAAGTAAGGAGATTTTGAGTCTGGAGCCAGAAGCTGAGAGCACTGTGGTGTCTCAGGCCGTCGTGTGCTGGGAGGTGCCATTAATGGGGCTGCTCCAAGTCTCAGAATGTTTGTCGGTGAAAAAACAGGGGCTGTAGCTTTACCTGCCAAGATTTAACCATGTAGCAATTCTCCCTAGAGCTTTATAACCTCTGCAAATAAATCCTCCCAACTAAGAATATATTTTCAGTTTCTTTTAAAAAGATAAGGAAAACCACGTCCAGCTGGCAGGTGAGCAGGGGGGGCTCTCTTCCTCCCCATCCACCTCACCCCTGCCTCCGGGAATGGCCTCATTACTTCATTACTGCACTTGCATGGAGGGCTGGGGCCCCTGGGGAGTCCTCATCACCCCTAGTGCTCCTGGTACTTGTTTTGAATCTCTCCCACAACTTCACTTACCACTTCTGTGAGGAGGATTATCACATCGATAGCTCTGTTCCCATCCCACATCCAGATCTGTAGCTCTGTTCCCACCCTAGATCAGTTCTGTAGGTCTGTTCCCACCCTGGATCAACTCTGTAGGTCTGTTCCCATCCCACATCCAGATCTGTAGCTCTGTTCCCGCCCTAGATCAGCTCTGTAGGTCTGTTCCCACCCTGGATCAGCTCTGTAGGTCTGTTCCCATCCCACATCCAGATCTGTAGCTCTGTTCCCGCCCTGATCAGTCTGTAGGTCTGTTCCCTCCCACATCCAGATCTGTAGCTCTGTTCCACCCTAGATCAGTTCTGGTAGGTCGTTCCCATTCCCACATCCAGATCTGTAGCTCTGTTCCCGCCCTGGATCAGCTCTGTAGGTCTGTTCCCATCCCACATCCAGATCTGTAGCTCTGTTCCCGCCCTAGATCAGCTCTGTAGGTCTGTTCCCATCCCACATCCAGATCTGTAGCTCTGTTCCTGCCCTGGATCAGCTCTGTAGGTCTGTTCCCATCCCACATCCAGATCTGTAGCTCTGTTCCTGCCCTGGACCAGCTCTGTAGGTCTGTTCCCATCCCACATCCAGATCTGTAGCTCTGTTCCCGCCCTAGATCAGCTCTGTTGCTGGTTTCTAGTCCTGGATCAGCTCTGTAGCTCTGTTCTAGTCCTGTATTCCCAACTCCCCGCATTCCTGTAGTTTCGTCTATGCCTAATTCATCCCTCTACTGTATTTCTCCTCATGTGCCCTCAGCACTTTGCACTGCCACCTCTAATCCACCCGTGTCTGTTGTGGCAAGTGTACAAGCTCACTCTGCAGTTGTGCCCGTCCTTACTTGTCACCCCCACCTCAACTGAAATGTACCCACTTTTCAAACCCCAGTTTAAGCTTTCATTGGTCATCTCTAAACCTCTGTTGTCTGTAGAAATAATACCACTCAAGAGATAGAGAAAGAACAGAACTATAAATTATATTTAGGCTTATATGTTACAAATTTGATTTTTCCTTTGAGGCTTTTGATGATGGTACCAGAAAATCTGAATAGCTAATTCATTTAAGCCAAATATCTAAGAAGAAATTGATAAGCAGATTAGAATTTTTTTTTGCAGGTGTGTTGGGGGAGGTGGGTGTTAAGAACAAACTCTACAAGTTCTTTAGAGCAGTGGCCTTCAGACTTTGCCTCATCCCACAATAAGAAATATGTTCCATACAATGACCCAGCACATACATACATTTCACAGAAATAAAACTTTCACAAAACAAAACCTCCTCTTACCACATGCACCACACTCGTTGTCTGTATGGGCATATGCTTTACATGTGTACATGCCTATGTGAGTACAACTCACAGGCTGTCCTTTATGATACAGAACATGCCTTATCAAATGACTCTTAAATTTGATAATTTTTTCTACCTTTCTATCTTGATAAAACTCATTCTCTTAACTATAGGAATGCTCTATGAAATGTTATTCTATGATTTGAATCTATAATTTTAAAATGCCAACATGTTTAATAAATCTGAAAGATTATTGAACTAGGTTATTGAATTTCACATTACCCAGGTAGGATGGTTAATTTGTGTGTCAACTCGACTAGACTAAGGGATACTCAAATTATCTGGTTATACATTATTTCTGGGTATGTCTGTGAGGGTATTTCCAGATAAGATCAATATTTGATCTTATCAGTGGACTCATCTCCCCAGTGTGAGTAGGCAAGATCCAACCCTTTGAGAGCCTAGAAAGAATAAAGAGGCTGACGAAGGGGATTCACTAGCTCTCTCCCTCCCTCTCTCTCTGCCTAACTTGAGTTGGGACACTGGTCTTCTGCAGATATACAGAAATGGAGGTGTTCCCATATAAATGGAAATAATTCTTAAATTATACAAGAATTTTATATATGTTATGCCATTAAATCTGAGAATATAATAAAAATTACTTCCTGTAAAAATAGTAAACATGGAAAGAAATTTAAAGTATAAAATGAGAAAAATTATATGAGTATCTCAATTTTTACTGAAAAGATATTAAATAAAATTTAATAGCCATTCCTAATAATAACAGTCAGCAAACTAGAACTAGACTGAAATATCCTTGTCACAATAAAGACTATGTATCAGAAACTACAAATAGATTGTTTTAGAAAATGAAACCCTAAAGATGCAAAACTAGGCTACTCAACTGTCATCATGCTTTGGCCAATCCTTGCCAATGCAATAACACATGAAAACAAAATATATACAACACGCAAAAATATGTTATATATTATATAAACTCATATTTTATATATGGATTTAAAATGCATAAAATCATTTGAAAAATTTAGAAGTAAACTATTAGAATATATTCAAATTCAAGATAAAAATGCAATAATCAGTTTCTGTATAGCAATAATAATCAGATATAAAATATGATGGGAAATGATCACTTTCATAATAGGGAAATGATCACTTTCATAATAGTTAATACCTAAAAGTAAATTTAACAAGGAATGTGCATGACACTGACAAGAAAAAAGTGTTTTTCTGATGAATAAAAAACTTGAATAAAATGGTTGACATTTTATGTTGGATATAAGTAAAAATATCCATTTTCTTCATAAAAATTTAATGTAGTTTCTAACTCCCAAAGGACATGCATTTGGAATTTTACAGGTTAATTCTAAAGTTTATCTAGAGAAGTATGAAGAGCTTATAATTTTTTTTTAAAGAAAGGTTAATGAGTTAGAACAGCTTTGTTAGACATCAAAATATATAAATTTCTCAACGAAGATTCTTGTGAAATTGTAACAGACAAATGATTGATGAAACAGTAGAAATCATACATCTCAGGATATGGGAATTCTTAGTATACAGTAAAGGGTCTATTTCCCATTAGTGGAGAAAAAATTATTTGAGGAAAATCAGGGAATGTAGTCCATTCATGTGGAGAGGGAATAAAGAACATGACTTAATACCACATGGCCAAAAATGTTCCACATGGATTAAATATTTCAATACTTTTTAAATGAAATGAAGAGAATCAGACAGACAACTCCTGCCTGCACTTAGGGAGAGATGATTAGCGAGCATGCCCCTAATGCAGCGTGTGCAGTTGGAAGCTGTTGAGCAGCGTGTGAACCCAGCTTCAGTTCTGTTGGACACTGTGTGGCGAGTAATGCTGTAGTGGCTTTTACTAATGTCTAAAGGCTGGTCTGTAGAAATACACTGCAAGAATATACTAGGTGGTAATTTGTCCTGTTAACAAAGGAAAATGATCATCTTTCTTTGAATTTTTTGTAAACGTGGAATATTTGCATATATAATACAGATATTAGCATTTAGGGGTTGCAGTCATTTTCTTGTGCCTTTTAAAAGATGTAATCATGTAAGTAGAATAAAGGTTTTACAGTTCAAAACTAGAATAGCTTAGTAGCAAACAAACGTGGAACGTACAACCACACACCCCGTGCCTAGTAAGAAAGTAGCCGTCCCCCATGGAGGCGTGAGCCACCGCGCCCGGCCTGTCATCTAGTTTAAGAGTACACACTTCTTTACAAAAATAACTAAATATCATTTTTTCTAATGATAGAAACAGAATTTATTAATATTATTTTAATCAAGAAACAAATTTGTGTGTTTCAGTAAAAAAACGTTTGAATTCTTTTCCTTTAAATACCTATAAAAATATTTTTGACATAAGGTTATAAGTAAAATGAGGCTATGATGCCTCTAGAAATCTAGAAATCATAGATTAAGATATTTAAAATAAAAATGTAACTGTTGGTCTTGAGTTCCCACCTCAGGATTCAGTTTCTTATTATATTCATCCCTATTTTTTTATCTTTTTAAAATGTATTTACATTTTCTCATCCTTACTTTATATTTCTGAAAGTTCTTCAGAGCTAAAAATGTATACTGAAATAAAGACCAGCTTCAGATGAATCAATGTCTATAGGTTTCCTAGTAATACATCCATTAAAAATAAATTCCAAAGCCAAAATGAACAATGACTTTATCAAGCCTCCTTTGAGTGAAAGACTAGCTTTGTAATATAGTCAGCAACATTCCAGGAATGCCAGGTTTTTCTACATAGTATGGGAAGCCACCTACTTGTATGTTCACACATACCTCATCACCCGCCCCACACTTAAATGTGCACGGAACTGTATATCAGTGAACTATTATCAAGCTCTAATGTTTGAGTCTTAGAAATTGGAAATTTTGCAAAGCAAAATGTATAATAATTAACAATATCCAATATGGTAAACTCATAATTATCTATGGAACAATAGTTTTTAATTCTGGGAGAATTAAAACACAAAATCACAAAACAAAAAACACAAAATCTCCAGCTACATTTCTAAGCTCCATCTCCATACAGACTATTGGTGAATGTTAAATTAATGCAAATCCATTTTATTTTTAATCTAAAAAAATGAAATTGCAAATTACCATGAGAAATAAGTCCTGTGACACGTTCCTAAGTTAAAGACAGACAAATATTGGCTTTACTACCTCCATTAGTCAGTAAAATCAGGAAGTTGTAACTGATTCTCCATTCCCTCCCCAACAACCCATTTCAAATTCTGTATTCCAGTGGTTTTTAGAATCTGCAGAACTGTAAGAGAAATCTGGGGCTCCAACAAAGTCATTGCCAACTTTTAAAACTTTTTATTTTACTAAGTTAAGAGTTTGAAAAAACACCACCACCATATACCATCAGAACCATTTCATTTAAAAAAGGCTATTTTAACATCAGAAAAGTAGTAAGTACCTGACTACACACTAAAGGATATTCGTTTTACACTGCAGACATTTAGCTTTTCAAAATCTCACTAAGCTGCCTTTACTTTCTTTTCCTTTGCTAGCAGATAAGTGAAAACTTCTTTGCCACACTTGGGAACCACTAGTTTAGGTCACAGATAAGTTACCTCAGGAAAAAAAGAAGTCTAGTCATTAGAAAGAAAGACAAAATGGGATAGTAGTAGATTTGATGTTTTTAGACATAATTTATAAGGAAGTGTTTGTTTCATTTATGTTTTAAGATCTCACTAGGATAGATATGTTTTTAATATTCTAGATTGGCCCAGGCCATTCTATTTTTATAAATTAAGCTATTTTACTTGTAAAGGAATTGTGTACTTGTATTTTCACTCCTCTATTACAGAGTTAATGAAGTTTTTCTTTTAGTTTTCATGCATCTATTGGGTGTTAATTAATACAGGGATCATCTTTCTACAAACAGGAATGCTTACATATACT